TTTTCTGCAGCCCCCACCTTTCTAAAATCCTGTCAGAACTGCAAAGTCTTTGCACTCTCCGAGGGGATTTTTTTCAAACCACAACCTAGCAGGGAATTCTTTTCACAAACCCCAAATCTCTTGTGTTTACCTTTGTTTTAAAACGGTCTGTCTGCAGGATTACATCATAATCAAAAAGCATCCCTTTTCCCTATAAGTTATGTGTCCTAATCCTGATGTTTGCTTCAGATGTCAGCTCTTCTTCTCTCACATTTAGCAGCATAGTTCTAAAAGTATTTATGTTATGTTTACCTGACTTCTCGCCCTCCGACATGGATTTGGGTGGAAAAATCAGTGTTTTCTCCTGAGGTCAGAGGCTGTTAACCATAAAGCATCATCCTGACAGCAGCTCAAAGCAGAGAGGCTGATAGATGACAGTTCCCACAGGGAGGCAGGGGAAAGTGGTTCTGCATAGCAATTTCTGGAGGGTGAACTCCCTCACATGCTTCAAAAAGTTACTTTAAACTTGAAAGTGTTGCGCGAATGAGAGGGATTTGAAGGGTGAAATAACCCTTCCTTGCTGTGATTACTCCCTTTTTTTCTTAGCCACATGCTGTTTTATGTGGATTTAATGTAAACTTATAACCTTGGTAACTGGAATTTAACATGTTTTCCAGGAGCTCTTAAAATTGAGCACAAACTGTAATTCCAACGTGGAGTGAAATTTTATGTTGGTCCAGGGAAACGGATAATATACGTTTGTTTTCCCATGGGCTTGGCTGCCGTCAAAGACAATGTTTGTTCATTTTGAGATTATTTTTCACTCTTCCCTCCCCTTGTCTCAGGACTAAACATCTCCTCCATGGATTCACATCATTAGCCCTCAGCTGTCCAAATGTGTGCAGCAACACCTTTAACGCAGCCTGTTCCAGAAAATGAGAGAGTCTAAGGTTGGGAGCTGAGGTACAAGATGAATAACGATGTTTCACTCTCTCCACTTCAGCCCTGACTCACTGCTTTCACAGTCTTTTCCAGCAATGTTTACAGAGAGAGAGACAACATCCTTCCCATACATGGTACAGGAGACAGAAGTAGTAAGTCAACCTTGACCGGAAATTAAATTGATCTAATTTACATAGTTTGAAGAGAAATAAGGAGAATTCCTTTTAGACCTAAAGATGTTAAATCGCATTTCATTTTCTCATTGTGTTTTTCTCTCCACTCCCACTCACTCTATCAATCCTGTGATCCACCTCGACACAGGATGCTTTAATAGACAACTTATCCCATCAGGAGATGTATTCATCATGGTTATATATACTCCCACAGACGTGCACTGGCCCTGTCAATGCCTGCTTCCTGCTAAATGAAAAACACACGTTTTAGTGTAATGTAACCCATGTTTCTTTTCTCTGTCTACTTCCAAAACTTTATAGCCTCAGAAAGCAAAAAAAGGCCTTATCCTGATTTATAACTCCTTCTGACAGACATGATTCATCTACATTTGCCAAGGTTCAGTCAGCAGAAGTCTGCAGGCTGAAAGATAAACTGACAGCGCTGATAGTTGGTGGTTTATATCAGATTCGACTGCAGAAGAGACATTTCTTTTTTTCTTTTTCCTGAACTCTTTTGAGACCAACTGACATGTTTAAAAACGGATGAAGGATTTAGATAAACACTAGATTATTATTCTACATCGAGCAAGGAGACAAATTCATTTTAGAGCTGTTTCATGCAATGGGATCCTTACAAAGGAAAGCTGTGTTCAAAAGCCTTTTTTTTATTGTGTGGGTGTTGAACGTATAATGTCTTGCTGTATACATAGTCTTCAATTGTACAAGCATCGTAAATTCTTAAAACACTACTTCTAACATACTTGGCCATCAATCAGATGGAGATATTATGCTCCTGGTAAATACCTCAGCACCTTTTCATAATGTGAGATAAACTTTTTAAAGAATTGGGTTTATTTTGCAGTAACTGAAATGTCCATGGCTGTTGGCATCATGCAAACCTCTACTAATATTACTACTGACAACTCTTGACATTAAGATACCAATGAATTCAAAATTCAGACTAGAAGCTTGTTGGTTGCACAATGGCTCCTACCTCCACCCTTGTATGAATAACTTCCTCTGAAGTAGCTGCTAAATGTAAATATGACAATTATTTCATACAGACCTGAGAGTTTTAGATAAATATACTTGGATTTATTGTTTTTTCTCTCAACCACAGTCAAATTCAATTACGTGTAGTTTGGTATAAAACAAATACTGATGTAATCTTAATCTTTAAAAAATACTCTTAGCATAAACTGATATGTTTTTCTGGAGGTTGAAGCTGTTTCAATAGGGCAGAGGTCAACTTTGAACTGCAGAATAATTTATCTAGCATCCTGTATCAATTAATCTGATTTTTTTTCTGCTTTTAATTTGTCCTGCAAACTGATATGTGGATCTGAATGTCACTGTTAGGTTGTGTGGGGGTTTGAGCAAGACCCAAATGCATAGATGGAAGCTGAAGTGGTTTCTTGCAGATTTAAAAAATCCAAAAGGTGGCAACTAGTGATGTTATATGATGAGCCGAGGCTTCGAGGGGTGCATCGAGTAGTGGAGGGGGCGTTTTCCACAAACTGCGTGTCGAGGTTTGCTTCATTTGGGGGAGGAGCCAAAATAGATGATGTCTGAAGCCTCGCTACCTGGCGATACCACGTGACCACTTGGGGAAGTGCTACAGCTTGCCTGGAACTTAGACAAGAAGTTGAACAGCCTCCATATTCAGTCAAGATATGGGAGTTTGTAGGAGAGCTGCAGTCTTTTGGATAGATTTTAACAACCAATGTATTTGGTTTAAACAATTATGGTTAGATTAAACAACATAACGATCAAAATCTGAGCAAACCACTGGTCACAGTTGCAACATTGGTGTGAAGTAGTATTGCTTTCTAGTGAGCAGATAGCATTGCTAGTGGTGTCATCTGTAAGGCATTGAAATCCAATTTGTATCGGTTTTCCCTTACCTACTATTATAGATTAAAATACAGAAAAACACTGTCAAATTAGATTGGTTGATTTAACCAAAAGACTGGTTGGACAGATAACTCCCAACCTGATTAAAACCAAAAACTGTGGAAAAACTATTATTTTTGAATAAAATGACTAAAACTTTTCATTTTGCTCATCATTGCCCAATCTGCACAAACACTTTCAAAACAGTGTACCTTAAATGACTGTTCTCTTCTAAGACATTTTACACACAAAAAATGTACAAAAGATTGTATGATACAAACCAATCATGAACAATTTGAAAGGAACTTAAATGGGAAAAAGAAAAAAAAAAAACAATTGCAAAAAAAATCACATATTATATAACTTGCAGTTATGCACTCCACCAGTAGGTGGTGACATGTTCACATGAAGCTTCATGAACTGTAGGGCTTGTTGAAGCAATTTGCCCAAACGATTCAATGCCTCATGAGGCTTCATCTCACCATCACTACTGGCAACTGAGGCAAAAATCCAAAAATAACAAAATACAGAAAAAAACAAAATACGTCAGGGGAAACACCAATAAAGAGCTAAGAAACGATGAGGAACCAGCACTGAGAAACTGCACAAGAGGGGTACATATGGGAGACTAAACAAAGGTAAATAAGCTGACATGGAGCAGGTGTGGATGGAAGTAGCTAGAAGGGAGCTAGGGGAAGGAGAATGACATAGGGGGGCAACAGAGGGCAAACAAGAAATACATAAGAACTTAAATGCAACTGAAAACTACTAGAATAACACAAAATGTAAATGAAACCGATGAAAACTCAAAAAGAAAACTTAAACAGAACCAAAACCATGACAGCTTCAACTGAGTTAAATTAATTCAAAGTTTGAGTCAGAAAAACAGTAGGAATTGGATTGTTACATTTTACTGTCAGAAATACAGCAAGAACATTCCCTGAAGTAAAGACTCCTACATCAGCATCATTTCTGTTCGTATGATATGTAAAAACTAGATTTACAGAACTAAATCTGGTGGCTGAAAATTTGGAAAAAAATGACATGCATACAGAATCTGTCACTGTAGACAATTAATACATACATCTCATCTGTAGTAAAGTACTAACTGCAGAGGTGCAGTAGTAAAGTGTAATGTTGGCTTTACTAACTGTAATCAAATAAAAATAAAGACCAGATTATTTTTACATGAGTAATATTACTCTGAATTAATACTTATTTTATCCTTTACAGTTTTCCTCATACTCTCCTTGCCTTCAATGCACTCAGTCTTCCTTCCTATATATATTCCTTCCTATAGATATATACAGAATATCTGGTCACTGCTGTTGTTTCTGATGTTCAAAAATACAAAGCTAACCTCTCTTAGCTGTTGGTATAAAAAGCCTTGTTTTGGAAAAAACAAGGTTTATAATCATGTTTATTGTGCTTTAGTTCTTTTTGTTTTTGTATTGATGATCATTTATTTCTAATTGAGCTTATAGGATTATTTGAAAATAACAGTTTTTCTCATTATTTGATATTACTGTCTGATTAAATTAATGAAAATAAGAAATCAAATATTATGATATGTTTGATTTCATTTAACAGTTAAAAACATATGTCTACTTTATACTTTTACTTGAGTAAACCCTTTTGAAAGAAAAGATTGATGTATAATGAAGTACATCATTAGTTTAATCAGCCCATCTATGATTCTTTGCAAAATTCCTAGCAGAATCTAAACTTTCGCTTTAATGCAGCGTTTCTTTAAAAAAAAAAAACACAATAAGGACCAAACAGACAGCTTTGTAATTTTTGATGTAAAGTTTTATTAAAGGTTGTTTCCTCTCACTTACTTTTCTTTTATGAGCACACATTGTGAGCAGCTGTAATGCCGACATAAGTGGAAAATGGTCATAGTTTTGGTCTTTGGCTTTGAGTGGAGGGGTTATAGAGAGAAACAGCCTTTAAAGAAAGAGCCCCCTCCCCTTCAGGATGTCTGACATGTTTCTGCTGGGCCACAGTCCGCTGGCTGGCGTAGAGCACATGCTTGTGGTGGGCTGTTTGTCTGCGCAAAGCTGGCATGGCCTTCCCCGTTCCCCCTGCATCTGTTCTCCATTAGAGGAGCCGAGAGTATAAAGCAGGGAGCTGACAAGGGCTGGAAGTTAGTCTAGTTCCTGCCTGCCTGGATCATGGGGTTTAGTGTCTGGCTGTGTGTGCTGTGCCTTCAGGCGAGCCTGCTGTCGCACGCCCTGGACTGCTCAGAGGGAAGCCAGGGAGAGCTGTGTGCCACTGGACAGACCGCAGACAGACAGGTAAGTGACGCACTTTAATGGATCTGATAGTTAGGGAAGGGCAAAGTGTTCATCATGTGTCAGTCACCGTCTCTGCTGCTCAGACACTGCGAAGGTAAGTGCTGCCAATACCAGTCTATTAAGATGTTGTTTGCAGAAAGGATATAATAACTAACCAGAGGTCAAATATGAAAGAGAAGAAAGTTATGTTAGAGTGATCATTTACACCAATTTTATTCCGAGGAGGTTTTTCTAGGTGGTTTTAATCTATTGCTTAAATCCAATGTAAATTAGTCTCTCTTCTTAATAACCTTTGCTCACAAAACACTGTCTAGCAAATATTTTCAGTATTTCTTCCAGCTTTATCACAATTGAATCCTTTATTTATATACAATTTATAAAATTGTATACTAAGAGTTGAAGATATTCTTGGGATAAATGCTGACACGGATGTTTGTTTTTATTGACGTTTCTCTCAGACATTCTGTGGTCAGTGTTTACACAGTAGCTTATCCAGACCAAACCAGTAACTCTGTAGGTTGTTACTTCTTCCACTTCAACTTGAGAAAAGAAAGGAAAAAAAAAGCTCAGAATAGAGGGAGACGTTTACAGTCTAACCCTGACCTGAGGAGATGTATAATTTCTTTTTTTTAATGTCTCATTGTAATGTTTTTTACAGTCACAGTGTCACCACAAATACATATGTGGAACAAAATCGTCCTGCCTCTTCTGTTTTTGTGCTTTTCATGTGGCTGCCAGCTGTTAGACTTTAAACTGGTGGTTAGCTTTTTTCCTCTTTTTTTTTTCTTTCGGATGGTCCTCATGTTCTGTCCAAAGTAATCAGCCTCATCTGGACAAAAGATCCAACAGCTGCAAAGAAAAGGGAGTCCCATCAGAGAGAGTTTCTGCAGCTATTTGTGATGTAATTACAGCATGCAGACAATTATAAGCTTCAGTTGTGGTGATGGCTAACTAATACCAGCAGCAGCATCTTTTTCATAGGCTATGTTTACAGCATTTGGCTTAGTTTTCATGAGTTTTGCCCAATCCTACCAAAATAATGTGTGCTCTGAGATGAGAGCTGCATATTAAATGGGGAATTTATGGGACTCACCAAAAGGACAGGAGTCAGACACATGGACTGAACATGCCAACTTCAAACGCAAACATAGTTTACTGTTTATTAAAGTAATTCAGGTTTTGGGTTTAAATCTTACACTGAGAAAAATATTGACTGTAACTATATTTTTCTTTCTCAGAATGATGAGAAAATACAGCAGAGAGGGCTTCACTCACCTGAGCAGCTGGTATGTGCAAACCCTAGCTTTTTTTTCCACTTCACCTACCACAGCTTCACATTTTGCCACTTCACAGTATATGTAAACTGGGAGAAACAAATGGAATAAAGTCCCTTGTAGGGAAAAAAAAAAGAGAAAAAAATAAAATAAGGGGTACTGGAATGTATGAGAGCCATTTATGATTTCTTGCATATATAATCTTTGGAGATGCTGGAGGTTTGGGGTGATCCTAAGGCTTTGTTTGATTTGCTTCCAAAGTCAAAATTCAGATCAAAAAATGAAACCGTTAGATGAGCGTACATGTCGGCTGAATATACTAACTTCTCTTAGCAAGTACAGGGTAATGGATAATTAAATTTTCTACAATTTCTGTGTGAAACAGGCATGTTAGACACTAAGTTAAGGGCTTTTTGGTTGCCTCTGACTTTCTGAACACAAATCCACACTCTATAGTGGTTAAATTCTTGAAAGGAAACTGAAAAAAATTTTTTTCCAAGGGTGAAAAGAACACAGCATAGTGATACAATTTCACATATCTTGTTAAAACAAAACAAAAACCTAAATAGTTGGCTTTCTTTAATTGCAAGGTTACATTACTGTCAATTAAGCCCAAACATTTTTTCCTCTGGTAACAACACACTTGTATAGTTATTTCCTGCATGCCAGCTTATTTCTTTTATAAATGTTTTGCTTTCTATACCTCTTTTTTTCAGGCCTCCAGCGTGAACTACCTTTTTGTGTTGCTCCAATGATTGCCTCATAAACACCAGTATCAGCCAATAGATAAGAGTTATTCATTGGCTATCTCGTATCGGCTGAGAATATTGCACACCTTGCTGCTTCTGCGTCATTTGCTGCAGAGGAGTTAAACGTTTCAGTTACTTAAACCATAAACATGCTGTTTGGGGGTGGATTAATGGAGTCTTACTGGTTTGTGGGTTTATTTACCCTTTGCGGTCTCAATACTAACCACTCTTTGATTCACTTTATTTTAAAAGACAAGACAGAACTTATGCTTCTAAGTTTCTATGACATTAGAAGGTAGTTTTTAACTATTAAATATGGCCCAAGCAGAATATTATTCATTAATATCACAAAATAAAGTCATTAAAAGCTCAAAGGTGTTTTTTTAATCTAATTAAAATGATGATGTGAGCCAATTGCTCACAAAAGGAATAGAGTTATTGAATAACTTATAACTCCTGACAGTTGCAGTCATCAGAATAGAGGTTAATGGGAATAGATGTAAGCAATTTAAATTGAATCCAAATTATTGACAAAAATTTTACAACTAACAAAGAGTCAAACCTATTGTTTCTATCACCGTATATCAGGAAAATTGTTGGCTCAATTGAAGTGAATCACCCTGAGCAGATCAATACAGTAAACAGAGGCATAAACGTAATTAATTCTGCTCAATTCTACCCTTCGTGCTGAATGTTGTATTCAAGTGAAAGAAAATAAATGAAATAAAGTAAGCCACACATCTCCATAGGCAGCAGCTGTACCCAGGGATGCATGCAGACATTGTTGTTTCCCTGCTGTGGCCTGTGGTTGTGACTGTCTCAACCTTTCTAGGATTTGTTCAGACGTAAGAGGCAGCTGGAGCGGAGGGGCCCCACCCACGTGAGTCACCCCGGCATACCAGGAGCCGTCTCTGTTAAGGGTTTCCCTAACACTCTCATCCAGGTAAACCGCTCCCCGTGGTCACCCAGGAATCAGGTCAAACCGAAACGGGGGGTAACGACTAACTTCAAAAGTTAAGCCAAGTTTTAGTCATAATGGATCATGAGTAGGAGCTCACTGACAGAAGAGCTTAGGTGATTGTGTACTGCCAAAGAAATTAATATGAACAGATCTCTCTTAGCTTTAAACTACTTTGATGTTTTTACTTCTATTTACCAATCAGAGGCTAATATTGCTTGGGAAAGGGTCAACAGGAAACCCTTACTGGAAAAAAAAAAAAAAACTAGTTCAGTTTTAACTTTCTTTTACTTGGTTCTATCTATAAGGTGATCTAACAAAAACTGAACCTTTAATTTGGCGACATGAAACATTAGCCTTAACACACCATTACAACAGTAAAGCACAGTGGTGGCAGCATTATGGAGATGGGATGCTTTAATTGAATAGGACAGGGAGAGCTAGTCAGAGTTATGAAATTTTAGAAGAAGACTCATCTTCCAGCAGAAAAACAACACAAAACACACTTAAACAGCTCCAATCAAAGTATATCAATGTGTTAGAATGACCATAAGGCTGCACGTAAATCCAGTTGAAGAATAGATAATTGAGGCTCAGTTTTTTTCAAAGAAGGAGCTAAATATTGCATATTTACATCTGCAAAACTAGTAGACAGTCAGATAACCCAAAACCTGCAGCTGTAGGAGCAATGAAAAGTATTTCTACAAATTATTACCTCAAACAGGCTGATTGTAAATGCACGCCATCATTTCCAAATTTCATTTGTACAAATGCATTTCATCATTAGTCGCTACTTTGAGCAGCTCTGTCACATTCCCCCAAAACAAACACTGTTTTGTGTTGCTATAGGAAGACAAATGTGAACAAAATGTAAGGCATATGGATCTGCTTTTGTAGGCCTCTATAATAAGAAGGCATCTGTATGAGAAGCCTTGTTATGTGTGCGTAGGTGTGTGCATTAGTGTCTATATAATCCCTGTGTCAATGTTTCTCAGGCTGATAGGTCGAGGAGACACTTGAGTCAAGCTGCGATTAAGAAGAAGAGCAGGCGTAAACACCGCACAGGCTCCTTCTCGCTCCTTAGCAACGACAAGACAGCCAACCCCCTACAGGTGAGTTTCCATGGCAAACCCAGAGGCAGCAGAGAAACAGCTGGCCTTTAGAGACCTGATGTGATACGGCTGCATTACTCTATTTGACTGGATGGGCTCAATGTTCTCATCTGAGGAGTTTGTTTTTGTCAGACTCAGCAGGCCAGAATTTCAAGTGGAACCAGAAATGTCACCAAAGCTCTCTATCGTGATTAAAAATAACTAACGCAGATGCTTGTATGGGAACTTTAAGGTGACCAGAGTGAGGAGACAGGTGAAGCTTGATCCACCCAAGAGAGGGAAGTCAGGTCGGTCTGGAGCGTTCTCGGTCCTGGTGAGTCATCCTTTGAATGCGTCTCACCACCGGAGTGTAATATCTGATCAGTGTTTAATTGACAGCTCCTTGTGCTCTGCAGGGGGATCCTATGGTTGACGGACAGGGTGACAGGCCTGAAGGGAGCATGTAAGACGTCAAAGTGCTGCAGGATGAGAATAATAATCATAAGAAAGGACATGCACAGTATATCTAAATAGGAAACTTAAAAGCATTGTAACAGAGGAAGGCTGTAGAAATCTAACTTTCACATTAAAAACCTAACTGTGTTTATTTAGTGTTTTATCGGGTAGTTTCTAAGTATTATATTATCAGAAAGCTGGCTTGCATTAATCTGAGCTACTCTAAAGTACGTTCAGTTTTACTCTGTGTCTGCATGTTATAATAAGAGATCATGTGTTAATATTTTACTTTACCATTTTGCTGTAACCAACTTAATCGCATCTAAATGTTTGGAGTATATTTTTGCACAATTATATAAGGGTTTCAAAAAACCTTTAATAGAGTTATAATTAATATGTTTTTAATAATTAAACATTTTCTACTCTTTTATAAAGGACATTTGATGTTTCCGTCTCTTTACTCCATCATGAAATAGATTTTATTTGAATTTCCATGCAATACTGTACATGTTATAGGTTTAGTTTGTAACTGGCACTGGTAGCAGTAGGGTGGTTGCATCAAGGACTTACTAAATATCTACTAATCCAGTCAAATTAATGCAGCCAATGACAGAAAACTTCCATGCAACAGAGAGAGAGAGTGGGGGGAATCTAATTCAAGCCCAGACCATCTGTTGCAGGGGCTGGACTATTTAAAAAAAAAATCTAGTGCCATTTGGATTATTTTTGGTCAGAAATGGAAAGGCAGTTCAGACTGGATATAGAAAGATTAGTTTGAGCATTGCACTGGGAACAAGGATGGGAAAATTTGTGCACAAAAAGAGATCTTTGTCTTTGTGACTGCTATGTTTGTTCCATGTGGAAAAAGTACTGGTGTGTTAATGTAATGATTGATGAACATAAGAACAGAGAAGCCTGTTTCATTTTCTTGGCAAACAGAACAGTCAATCCAATAGCGACTTTCCAAAGGCTTATTGTAACCTTCTTTTAACATGCCTTGTTAAATAAAAGGCCAGTTTATGTCGATTTTATGCGAAAGACAAACATAGAGGAAAGCCTAAAGAAACATTTCCTGGTTTTGCAACATCTCTACCAGCGTTCCAGCTTTTTAATTCATTGTTCAAATCAAATGAAGTTACTGATTCAATTATTTCCAACTGGATAAATAACATCTTTTATCAAGAAGGTCAAGTTTTCTATAGAATTCCAGACTAAACATTGATTAGGCCATTTCAATGCAGAGATATGAAGGGCTGTTACTCTGCTGGAAGGTAAACATCTTATCCAGTCAGGTTTTTTGCACATTCTAGCAGGTTTTCTTCAAAGATTACCATGTATTAAATTCCACCCAGTTTCCAAACAACTTCTACCGTATTCCAGCATCTTTACAGGCTGATGCTGCCACTACCATGCTCCACTACAGTGTTTATGTGTTCAAATTTGATTGTGGTTTTCTTCTGACCTGATTGCCTTTAACAGGTTCAGCTACCTGAGCTGTGGATCTTTGCAGCTCCTCCACAGATACCGCAGGCCTCTTCCCTGCTTATCTAACTTATTCTCTGCTTGTCCAGCCTGGTAGTTAAGGTGGACAGCTATGTCCTGATAGTTTCTTTTTGCACATTTTGGATGATGGACTGAACAGAGCTCCATGATATTTTACAAGCTAAGGATTTTGTTTTAGATTTATTTAAATGTCCCCATAACTACATCTCCTGGTTTGGTGTCTTTCTCCATCTTTGTGCTATATAAAAAAAGTTGAAATGGCATGAATACATTTGTAAGAAGCTGTGTAAGTAAGTGAGCTAAAAGGGCCATTGAAGTAAATAGGGAGACTGATTCACTCCTTATTTTCTGATTAAAGCCTTTACCCCAGGTGACGTAAGATGAGAAGTGCTCATGATCCCATTTTCATGCTTTTTCCAGGCACAGACAGAGAGAATCACAACAAAAAATTCTATTTATAAACCTGGCATTTTCCCCCAAAGCACATAATTGGAGCTAAACATGCTTCAGCAGCTTGCTCTGGGAGAAAACAGACAAGCATAAAGCCCTGATGTTGTCACTCAGTCATCATGCAGCCTGAATTAGCAAGACGGGATCAGTCTCAGTTGTCCTGTAGGCAATCCATCATGGGAAAGAAGATCTGATTTCTCTGAATTACTGATGGAAATAAAAAGAAATACCTAATTAGGAGAACAAGAGAGAAGCATTCACAAAGTTGTAACTAAAACCATCAGCTGTTTGAAGCCTGAGGTGCAAAAAAGCCAACAAGGCAATAGATTTTTTTTAGATAATGTTTTATCAGCAAATATTTGTGTCTGTAAATCTGTGAATCTAAGTGTGAGTCTGATAAAGGCAACAGGTGTGGCCCCTGGAAAGAGGGAACGCTTGTTGCTGTGATTCTGTCCATGTGGTGTTGTAATGGTGTGCGGCTTTAATTTCACTTCGTTTTTGGCTTTTGACCCCACCTCTCGAAAGCAAAACTGATCATGAAGACCAACCGAATAATCTGGAAGCTATTAATCTAAAGGTCTGTGGTAGGAAGTGATCCAAGCAGGGTGGTATCTCAGACTTTCCCATAAAAAGCTCAGTCAGGTTCATGTGTAGTTAGTGGTTTTTGCAGTCAATTCCTCCAAGCGCTTGGAAACCACGCTATAAGTGATAGCTTCACTCTGACCCAGATCGGCTCATCCTGAACAACATGCAATGTGGGATAAACACAGTGATCAACAAGTTTGACGAGCATAGCAAAGATGGGCTGGAACCTTTGAGAATTACCCTGTTTTTAACATTTTGGATTCAGTCTTTCATCTGTGTGTCTATAAAGCACATTCACAGCAAAAATAATCCTAAATGTTTTTTAAACTTACTTTTATCAAAGGTTGGGGTGGTTTAGTATCATGATGACATCTTTTGGAATCAGCCAAACAACTAAATTGTTTAGTGCATTGAGACAAAGGCAAGGACTTCATTTAAAATAATGAGGTAAGCAAAGCTATCAGCTGGTCAAATATTCCTCTTACTGTTTCCAGTTATGTGATTAATTCACTACAAATTCTTACATTTGAATTTAATAAATATTTCAAAACATTTTATAAATACCATTTGTTGTGCACTTGAAAAATCTGTTTGCTTTTGTCAACAGTAACAAGGTAAAGTAGTACTACTACTGAAATATGCCATTCCGTTAATCATATGATGGATGGATGGATGGATGGATGGATGGATGGATGGATGGATGGATGGATGGATGGATGGATGGATGGATGGATGGATGGATGGATGGATGGATGGATGGATGGATGTTGAGGGTTTCTTAATAACCATGATCTGAAATCCAACACTTTGGTGCAATATTTTGACAAACTTGCCAAGCTAGCCATTATATGAACTTAAAATTTCCTTTTTGTCCAACTTGTGACAGAGATTAAGCTGCCGAATATTAAAGATTCAGTTTTTTACTTTAAGGATTTAGAGAGTTTATTACGGATTATTAGCTATATGTTGCAGCTAGTTGCTTCCTATTTAGTCAGTAAATACATTATATCAATATTTGCTTATAGTACCTGTATTACCACTGAACGCACCACAAGTACCCCCTATTACAAATGCTACAGATGGAGATTATTGGTTTTAAAATAGTTTAAATGGGTTTATATGGTCTTCTTATATAATGGGCTGAACACAGGTTGGTAGAGTACCCAAAAAGTTTACTTAAATGTAAAGTGAAGGATCAGCAAAATAAGTGGTCCTCCTAATTGTCAATCATTCTGGTGATATGTTTCTGTAAGGCCGTCCCTACGTGCTCGTCCCCGTTTTCACTTACACATAGTGGAAATTGCAAATCTTCTTTTGGAAAGTAAGCTTGTATGAGCGACGCAAACAGCTTTTAAACAGAGCGTGCACAAAGAGAAATGGGTTCATGCACGCTCTCGTAACAGTTTAATAGGCTTTCCCTCTCGAGAGCAGGTTCTTACTCAAGTACTGAGTAACTGATCTACCTACTACCCATGATCATAACAATAGATCTAATCATTTTTAAGCTATAAAACTTACAAAATCAATAGTCACAGTATGTAGAATAGGTTCAATTACAGTACAGTGTTTACTGTTTTTCACTCAACATGAAAATGACACAACAGACACAGTAGATGGAAAATAGCATCTAACCAATAAGCCAATAACCAATAATAGATACTTTATCATGTTTACTGTACTTAGGTAAATGTTAAAAGTACAATCCTGTAAAACTATTCCTTAAAGTACTTTTTATTTTTCAAAAGTTCCTTTTTCAAAAGGCCTTAGTCCTCGACGCGGCCGACTCGGGTTCGAAACTGACCCATGGTCATTTGCAGCATGTCTCTCTCCCTCTCTAATAGATTCTAACTTATTATTAATATGTTTATGTCCACTCTACATTATACTATAATGTTTTATATTTACAGGCTTCAGAACAAGCGTGGGCTAAAGTAGATGTTTTTTATAGGATCAAGTAAGCGTCTCTCTAGACTTCAGATTTTCTATTTAAAAATGAAGAATATATTTCATTTGATCTAATTCTATTTCATTTTACTCATTTTTTTCTGAACCTACATCCTGCATCATCTTCTTCATCATTTTATCTGCAGTAGTCCCTATTTCCTGTCCTCCTAAAATAAAATGGCACCTTCTCTGTCTGCACTCCACAAAGTTCGTCTTGGTTTGACATTATCTAGACAGATATCGGATGGAGGATCCTTGTGCCGAAATGAGCAGGATTTGGTCGGTTTTTATCCCTAGCCAGTATTTTAGTGTGACTCCGCTTGAAGATGATTGATGTCTGCTGAATGACACCTACTGTACAAGCCCCTGTGCCTGGCATACTCCATGAAAGCAGGGAATACTGCACAGTTCAACTGTCCTATGTTCTTTTCCCAAGGTTGATCATTGTTGTTCATTGTTATCTGGATGTTTCAAAGATTCCTTAGGAAAACGGATCATGCAATTTTCTCTTCGTCAAGAGAGAATTGTAATCAGACTGCGGTCGTTTGAAGATGGAGCCTGAAAGAGCTTAAACTGGCTCAACTTAGGTCATTGTCTTTAAGTAACCACTTCATGGGACTTCAAGTAGAAACGTAGCTCTAACATGTGGTTGGGAAAAGTAGCTGGTTTGTTCCTTTTTGAGTCAGCCTTGCAGGCATAAGTCATTTAAAGAAAGCAGCACAAAATGACATCAGATAATAGAGGATGATTAAGTCTGACGAGGGAGAAGGAGAATGAAGATTGGAATCATTCGTGGCTTTTCCTTCCCTTATCTCTCAGGCTGAGTAAAATCCTATATCTGTTATGTGCCAAAGAGTTTGCACAATAACTGCAATGGCAAAAAATGTCAATCTGAATCACAGATAAAGAACAAAACAGTTGTCCTGTGTGGACAAGATGCACAGGACGAGGAAGCTG